ACACAAAGGTTTTTAAATTTGCTTCACAGAGGCAATTGTCAACTCTTCATTGAGGTGCGATGGCTGTCAGTTTTACTACCTCCCAAGCACCATCCAGTTTTAGGCAACCTCTAAATGTCTAAAGTTTTTAACACCATATAAGCATCATTCTATGCTCGATTTCAACAAGCTCTGCTTCTAAATCATCCTCTCCAAACTATACAACCTCCCCGTTGCATGATCCTAGGACCTCACTGCTCCGTGCAAGTAGTTTAGGCACAAAGAAACCATCTGCTCATCATCCAGCCCTGGGAGTAGCATATAATTCTAAAATTATGGCACATATCAGATTCTTGGGACATGTCTACACAAGAACCAAGGCATGAAGGAATGTGATTGAAAAAAATGGAGAGAGAATATATGTGGTTGGATAAAAAATTATTCTGTAGAAACTATCCATTAGGACCATGGTTTATATATATGTAGTGTCTATGGAAATTAATAGGTATAGCATTGTGACTGCCCTAATACATTATAGAAACATCAGAATAACTATTTTTTTCACAAGTAGAAGTACAACATTGAGAAGCAGATTGTCAAGCTTGTTTGGCTAATCTATGAGCATCTTGTTTAAATATTCGTCAATAAATCATGGAAAGATAATGTCCAATTAATCAAAATGTACAAGTCAGAGCATGGGCGAGAGAGGGCGCGAGGGCGGAGGCCGGTGCGAGCGAGGGTGAGCTAAGCTGGCGAGGGTGGGCGCTATGGTGAGGCCACATGATTTATAGCAGAGGATTGATAGCAGTCTCTCTCTTTCTTTTTGTCTTAAATTTCTTTCCTTCTGTGTTAATTCTCTTTTCTTTTGCTCGTTGCCATGTATGCTGGTGCATGCAAACATGCAATATGTATATGAATAGCACAATAATTTTCTACTTCCTATTTTACAAACATGCAATATTCAATCAAGGAGACAAATCGTAGCTTTCCTTTTCTCGCTCGCTCCTTTCCTTTTCTCGCTCGTCCGTTGGACAGCGTGGAAGGTGGGATCGATCGCATGGGGTGGCAGATGGACGAACCAAGGCAATTGTCGCACCAAAACGATATTCACACTTTATTTTTTTTAGTTATAGGAGATAGGAATAATAATATCGTTAAGTAACAATCTATTATTTCAAACACAAAAAAGATTAATTAGGAACGAGCTCCTGAATATTTAATTATCATGTTAGAACTGTGACAATTGACCTTTATATGGCAGCTTGAGGGTGTTGTATGTCATGTCCTTGTGACCGGCGCTCCTAGGTCATGACACCAAGCACACAAACTCTTACACCCTATTGGCTTATCTTATAATCCGTATTTTTAGCTTATTTTTTCAGTTAGAACGATGTTTTTCTCTCACAATAAATCAGTCGAAACAGTGTTTCGGTTTGTTTTTTCAGCGAAGCGAACAGGGCCTTAAAGCACAATTTATCAGCAGACGCTGTGTGTATATCACTTTTTATATTAATATAGAATATGACGGAATAGTCATTTTTATCCCTCAATTAGCATCCAAAGGCTTCACTTTGTTGCGAAACTTTTAAAATAGCCATTTTGTCCTTAAATTTTACTTTTGGTCACAGATTTCATCTAAGAAACATTAAAGTGGTCGTTGCAATCCTTAAACTTTGCTTTTGCTGGCTAAGTTCATCCATGAACTAAGACGCTCGCTTGCACAAAGTTGGCCGTTGACGGATCAGGGTGATCAACGAGTCGCAGCATTGTCAAATTCTCCGAAGGTAAGGCGTCATAACTTGTTTTACGCAACACGCACCAAATATCCTATCTCATCTATATATAAAAAGTAGTATTTTAGGAGATGTAGTAGGTGCCGCAAGAGATCTCCTATCTTATATCCTATATCTATAATTTTTAAAAAGTCCCCCAAAATAAGCATCATCTATCCTACATAAAGAATACAACCCCCTCTCCTGTCCCTAAAGAAATATAGGAAACATTTTTTAGGCTGGCTCTCTTATATGCTAAACTAGAAGCATACCCCGCATGTTGCTGCGGGAATTGCGGATGGTTTAAAATGAAATTATACTATGTATAATTACTTGTATGAAGGAATAAATTATTATAATTGATGCTAGTAGATTGTGTGGCATGTTGATATGGACAATGAAATGATTATGTGTCTTGCTGACCTGGACTTCACAATTGCATATGCTAGTTGGTTAAAATTACATGTGATGGTGCATTGCTGAGGTGGACAACTTGCATGCTGAGAGAAATCACTAGTGAGGTTTAGAAATATAAGATATAGATATTAGTTTTAAGGTACTCTCTTAAAATAACTTATAGATGCAATATAAGAGATCTGACGGAGATCCCTTAGGTGGTGTCAATTGTCTATGGGCCTATTTGGTTTCTAGGGTGAGGGTGGCTCGTTTGGCCCAACATGGGCTGGGCAACCGCAGCCTGGTTCTTGGGGTGCATAGAGCTACGTTTGTTTCCCTATCTCAACTAGGTCTGGCCCTTTAGAGGTGGTGTTTGTTTGCTTGAATTAGAAGTGGACCAGGGAGCAACTATCTCAGGGTGAGGGGGGACAGCCTGGGAGAGCGCAGCCGCCAGCCGAGCTCGAGAGTTTCGTTTCCTGGCTGGGCCAGCGGTGCTTTAAAGCTCGCGCTGGCCAGGCTCTGGTGGTCTTCAGGAAAACAAACAGGCCCAATTGCATCCACTGGGCATGGCCCAAAGGCGGAACCAGGATTCCAAACATGCCCTATGTGTCTTTGGTATTGAGATGGTACCTTCTTGAGTTTTGGATTACTAGCTATACGCTAAATATTGGTTCTACATATTGCATATACTTGGGAAAAAGCACTTCATTTTGTGAGCTTAGAACTTGGACTAGACCCTGCAGCCATCCAAGCTAAAGTGTGGCATGCCAAATATGCGCCGAACGAATCATCCACTGCACTTTTGTTTTGACAAGCTGCGGTGTGCGTGGTTTTACATCAAAATTTCCCTTCGTGTTTTTACAAGGGTTACACAATTTTCGTATTTCATTTTTCCCTTGCAGCCTCAGGTAGCCTAGCTAGTTGATGTGTGGCATGTTAAGGGTCTATTTGGATCACCGTAACTCGTTGCAAAAGTTTAGCTTGTTGTTTAGATCACTTCCTAACTTCGTCCATGGTTTGGCTCGCCACACTCCCCCTTTAGCTTCTGGCAGCAGTTGCCACCAAATCTCTGATGTACGATTTGCATGTAGCTATTTTGGCATATCGTATCTGAGGTCTAGCCACGTAGGAGAAATAGGTCCTAACTATGCCCTGTTCGACTTACCTTAAATCCAGTTTGTTCGGCTTCTTTTTTTAGCCAAAACAGTATTTTTCTCTTACAACATTTCAGTCAGAACGGTGTTTTTTAGCCAATTTCAGCCAAATTTTAGTAAACCGAACGGGCCTACATGTCAGATTAATCATGAACGTCACATTTGGCAAGATAGGGCGTGCGTTTACACTGACAACCAAAACCAGTTATAAAATAAACATTGACTTTCAAAGTATGGCACGTCAGACTTTGACGTGGCTGGTCCGAGAATTTATCTTAGAACGTGTTTGGTAACCATCTATGCACACCCTGCCAGCTTTGCGCCACACAAATGTGTGACGTCGGATTTGGTGGCCCAACTTTTGTGAGTGATGACACATGGCTCTGTTCGTTTGGGTTATATTGGCTTATAAGCCGTACTTTTTTAGCCAACGAATAATATTTTTCTCTTACACCAAATCAGCCAACAGTACTTTCAGCCATGGCTTATCAGCCAAACAAGCCCAAACGAACAGGGCGAAACTAGGGACGCGTTTGGTTTCCGACCACCTTGCATCACACCACCACCACTGAGGCTGCCCATAGCTATTGGTGGTGGTGTTTGGTTGGTGATGAACTTTTAGCAACCATAAATTTTTACAGAGTGAGTTTCTACCATACGTGTGGCATCGAGGGCATGTTTGGTTACACACCACGGCCAACCACGTCGTAGGTTCAGAAGCGCCACAGCACACACGCCACAGGCTCCTCCTTTGCCACAGATAAAACGACAAGCCAGAGAAAGAAACTGTAGCGGCCAAAGTTTACACGGCAACTAGCAGTGGCCAACTGTTACAAAAGTGTGGCGCTGTCACGGTAGATGAGGCCGAGTGAACCAAACACCGCCACGCCACAGCACGCGCGCAGTGCGGGCTATCAATTCACCATGACTAAAGGAAAAAAACGCCACCAAATGAAATGAGTGCCGCGGTAACAAAAAGGGTCGACAATACCCCGCCCCAAAATTTTCCTCGAGCGCCTTCGCCGCAGAGCAACGTTAACACGCGCCTTATTCGTTTGACTTATAAAACATATTTTTTTAATTAATAAACAAACAACGATTTAACGAACGGTACTTTTAGTCCTGATTTACGGCAATGATCGTGCGCACGCGCACAGGTACAGGCGCGGGCGGGAACCCACAGGGCCACACGACGAAGCGAGGCTAGTCCGCGTCCATGAACCAACCTCTCCCTGACAGCCTAGCCCATAGGCCAACCAAGAGCCTTGTCCACCTAGACCACGCCTACCTTGCCATCGCGGCTCACGCAATTCTCTCCGGCAACTCTCCCACCTTTTCGAATGAACCGGTCCTTCCCCTACGCGAAAACCACCCACCAAATACCGCAGCAAACCCACTGACACTGGGCCCATACTGGCGACCGCGCTTCTGGGACCCACAATTCAGGCAGACTGTTAAAGCTGCGGGGTAAATTTTCAGGACGCTTTCGTGGGGTGGAGCGGTGGTTCAAATACCCCCGAGGCCCCTTGTGCCCTCGCTGCCTCCGCCGTTCCCCTTCCTCCTCTTCCTTCCCCTGCACACCACACCGCCTCCAAATTCTCCAAAACCACCACCACCACAACAAGCTTCCCTCTCGCCCTCGTTCGGGAGCCTAGGGTTTGGGAAGTCGAAGGCCTCGGTGCTTCGCCTTGCCAGCGCAATGGCGGACACGGGAGCGAGGGAGCCAGAGCCGGTGACGCCGCCGCCGGCGCAGCAGCAGGAGCAGCAGGCGGAGGAGACCCAGGCGGTGGACGATCGGCGGCTGTTGCGCTCGCAGTACCTCGCCGTGAAGGGCCTTATCAGCGGTACGGCCGTGTTGCTGTGCGAAACTCGCACTGATTCAGTGATTCTAAATTTCCGATCGCTGTTTCGGCTGTTGGCTGGGTTTGATTTTGGGGATGTGTTGTGCGGCTGTGTTTGTGTGCAGATGAGAAGGATGAAATGGCGAGCGTGGACTCTGATAAGTTCTGCTCCATCATCAACAAGGTGGAGAGCCTGCACCAGCATGGTAAGTGCGATTGCTTTTGCTGGCTTGTGGAAACGGATTTTCATGATTTGGGTGGTGACCTTAACGCTTATACTGCAACCATCGTGTTGGCGAATTTAACTATTATTTTTAAGTGAGCTGCACCGTTTGAGTGAAGTCTTCCTCCAACAGGATGAGACTTATTGTGCTTTACACTTATGCAAATGCAATGTAGTCTAATTTCTGTTTAGTGATTTTGTTTGAGTGCTCCATCAACTGTCAATGAGTTACAGATATGGTCATGCTATCACCACATTTCTAAGAAACATGCAAATGAATTTTGCAAAACTCTGTGTAATAAGTAGGTAACTCGTGAACTTAGTTTTAATGTTGCTTGTCAATTGCACCCTCTCTTATTTGGAATTAATTTCAGTGGGATAACTCAGGGAACTTTTCAGTAACTAATAAGGGTGATATTACATCCATTTTAGGAAAAATGTTATTGAAATTTGAACATATTGGATAACATACATGAAGTTCCTTCATGGCCAAACGTTCAACTATACTATAATCATATCCACTGCATTTATTTCTCAAAGACTTGAAACAAAGCCTTTAGTACCGTACTGTATTTTTACTGGTTTTGAACTTTAGATATCATACAGTACTTGCTGATCACTGATGCTGCTAGCAGAAATCTGACTAAAAAACTAAGTGTGCGCTGTCTTTCTGCTGCAGTTCAGAGGCCCAGGGAACAAATAGCTGACGCAGAAACCCTGCTGGACCTTACCGCTAGTTTGGTAGCATCAGTAAGGTCCCAATCAGTTCTGGGAATCACACCTTCTGATTTTATTGCTGCGCTGCTGAAGAAATTTGGAAAGAAAGGAGGTCCCAATGGTGAGAATGTTTCGTTGGACTGGGCCCGTCTTGGGCTTGCTACCTCGCATGTTTTCATGAAGGCATCTGGATGTGCCACCATGTAATGGATCCACTGTTTTTTTCTGAAGTTAGCTTTGGTTGTTTTAATTTCAAGGATTTGAAAATTGCATGGTTTGTTTTGACAGGGTTGGTCCCATGAAGACAGAAGTGAAGCCACGAAGAGTTTGTATTAGGAAAAAGAGGACTGCAAGGCCACGTGGAAGCGCTTGCCCTGAACAGGTACCCTTTCATGTATGATTAGTGTAATGGAAGATATGCTGATGTGGTAGTCATTGTTTTTTGTTCATAGTAGATTGGGTACATATTGGATCACATTTAGTCAAACTGATAGGTCTGTTTATTTGCTGCACTATATATTTCCTGTGGATACATGTGAATTGATCAATTGTACACTTGAACCTAATTTCTCCTTCTAACTTTGCATTTTTCCCTTCTTTTTTTATTTGTTCTCCATTTTACTCACTGAATGATCTAATGAATTCTAGAGCTTAACCCAATTTCTTCTCTTTTTTGTGTTTGTATTCTATCATTCCAGGTTTACTATTCATTAAGTATGTATATAATTTTAGATTTGTTAGTTTCTATTTCAAACAAACAAAATCTTTATAATGCTTATAGTATATGTTGTGGCACTTTACTACTACATACACAGTAAGAAGAGTTGATTATGTTGGAACCACAAGTACATTTCCTATCATTAATGACTGTTAGCGATCATTTTGTGGTGGATGTATTAAGGTGGAGACCATAATCTATATCTTGGACGTAGCTGCCTGTAACATTTATATTTTCCCAACTCATATAGACACAGATCATTTATCTTTCAATTTCTGATAACATGCCAATTTGACACTGCCTTATTCTGCAGCTTGCTGATCCATCTGAGAAAACAAAGTCTGATACTGACAAGAATATGTCTGCTATATTTGATCTTCTGAGGAGGAAGAAAAATGCAAGGCTGGAACACCTTATTTTAAACAGGACATCATTTGCCCAAACAGTGGAGAACATATTTGCCTTGTCATTCCTTGTGAAAGATGGAAGAGTTCAAATCAAAGTGAATGATGAGGGACATCATTTTGTCTGTAAGACTTGCATAGTTGCTTCTATGCTACAATATCATGGTTATTCACTTGTTCTGTACTTATAGACTCCAGTGTGCCTGATTTAACTCTATTGATTGCAACAGATCCAAGGAATGCACCTGCAGCTAGTGCTGTTGCCTCAGGAGATGTGGTCTATAGCCACTTTGTCTTCCGATTTGATTTCAAAGACTGGAAGGTATTGTTTCAGTATCTTTCAAAGAAACAATTTGTCATGGTCTAGCAGATGTCATGGGCAGTCGGCTGACACAATTGAATTATCATCACGGAATAAAATTCTGCACACTCATCTTAGATAGTTGATTTCATCATTTATTGTGGCCATTTTTCTTTTTTTTCATAAAATATTCCACTAGTACAGGTTGCAAAACTGTATCAAGTTTACATCAAACTTTTAAATTTGTTTGGTCATTCTCTTTGTATAGAGAAGTAATTTTGGTTATTTTTCTGCAGAAAGCATTGTATGCTTGATTAGTGGCTACTGTATAACTTGTCGTGTTATTCTTTTGTTCAAAGAAAAACTTGCATTGTAATCTGATGTGATCTGTCTTTCCTTCCTTTCCAGCTCATGAAAGGGGTCGTTCCAGAGGGGGAAGAGCTTATGCCACACAGGTCCTCTGAGACCATAGCCAACACAGGAGTAAATCATACTGAGGCTGAGGTGCCCTTGGCCACACCAAGCACAACGATCAGGAAACTCTGCAGGAACCGGGGCCTGGTCTCGCAAGATGAGATGATTGCGACAGGCGCACAAGGAGTCATGGAAAATGAGATGCTAGCCATGGGTGCTAACGAAGCCATGGAAGATGAGATGGTAGCTGCCATGGGTGCGACGGAAGCTGTGGGAGACAAGATGGTGGCAAGAGGAGCAAAGGAAGTCATGGGAGACAAGATGGTAAAGGAGCGGAAGGACATGAACCTGACGTACAAGCGCAGGCGTCTGTTCCAGGACGTCTGATGCCCTGATCCAGCTGATCGTGACTGATGGTGTACATGTCTAGGTACTAGGAACTAGGTAGAGATGCCAACCAAGCTCGCTTCAGCTTAGGCCCCGTTTAGATTCTAAAAAATTTTGTATAGTACCCGTCATATCGAATCTTGCGGCATATGTATGGAGTACTAAATGTAGACAAAAAAAAACTAATTGTACAGTTGGGTGAGAAATCGCGAGACGAAACTTTTGAACCTAATTAGTCCATAATTAAATATTAATTATTAAATACAAACGAAAGTGCTACAGTAGCTAAAATCTAAAAAATTTTAGATCTAAACGGGGCCTTAGCTTACCTTAGATGCATTTGGGTAAAGCACCCCACTGGGCATGGGTCGTGGTGGCTTTTGGAATGGTTGGGCGTCACATTGTTTTGGAGGTGTTTTAATTGTTAGTTTCTGGTGTACTTAGGCCCGAAGTAACCATAGTCAAGATGTTGGATGCTTTGGTTGACTTGCAGCGCTGATGCTTAGTTATGTCCGTTGTGGGGGTTGAACAATTTCGCTAATCGCTACTAGTCTGGTGCTCGTGCTGTGAACTTCTAAAGATGTTGATGCAGGTGACTAATTGCAGTCTGGTGCTCTGTTTTTGAACCGATGGTTTGAGAGCTTGACCCATTCGTCTGCGCCGTCTCGTCTGTTTCGTCTTTGGTTTGCGTCTGTTCTACTGCATGCTGATGAAGCAATAAGCAGAACTGAGGATTGTTTCGTCGATGGGAAACGTTGATTTGCGGCTGTTCTACTGCATGTTGATGAAACATATCAGCAGAACTGAGGCTTGTTTCATCGATGGAAACAGACGCATCTGCTGATGAAGCAAATCAGCAGCTTCATCTGCAGAACTGAGACTTGTTTCGTCGATGGAAACAGACGTATCTGCAGCGTGTTTCGTCGATGGGAACAGACGCATGTGCTGCTACATGCATCGCTTCACCTGTGAATCTGATCCTAGTTCGGCTAACTAAAAATCTCAAGGTATGTGATCCTAGTTCGGCTAACTAAAATCTCAAGGTCTCGTCCTGGTGCTAACTAATAAATCTTAAGGAATCCTAAACACTCTATCTGGCACTAAATTGGTTTAGAACCATATAGGTCTTGTTTGGATGTAATTGTATCCACCTCAATCCACATGTTTTAGAGTGGATTGAGGTAGAACTTAAACTATTTTTTATCTCAATCCACTCCAACACACATGGATTAAAGTATACTATTTTCTATCCCAATCCACTCACACATGGATTAAAGTGTATACAAGTGCATCCAAGCAAGGCCTAAATTGCATAGCATCAACTGTACATCGTAGAACGTAACCAAGCCATGACAGGTTATAGTCTAGACACTACACAAATTACCCAGGTTAATCAATCACGATTAACCTCAGAACAACACTAATGACATCCGGATTTCAAGAGCCATTAAGAATTCACAAACCGATAACATCAATAGCAACTATTCTCAAGTCAAAGTCACAATGATCTGCCAGCCAAAAGTGCCTAAGAAACGGTACAAAAATAGGATTCAGAAGCAGGGGAAGATAAAGAGACCAATACGGCAAACCTACAAATCCTAGAAGACGGCCACATTACTTATCTCTATCGAAGAGAATTACAGCAGTAAGATCAAATACAAGCCACGGAAAGGATATCTCTCAGGCAGCATGAGGCTCAGTACATTTCACCATGGGCGACTGTCCTTGGTTCTGGTGTTACTCAGCCATACAGGCAGAGTAATCACCACTGGCCACAATAACCATCTCTCTCAAGCAGCAGCAGGTTTGCGCAGCTCACTTTCGCCATGGGCAAAGTGGCACCTGTCTCCAAAGGTGCAGGAGCCTTTGTTGAAGTTCTCACACAACTTGGTCTTGAAGTTGCTTCCAGGACCCCCAGCATGAGAGCCAGGCCCCCTGCCACCTGGGTTATTCTTGGCTTGTGGGCCAGGCACCTTACCACTGATGCGGACAATCAACTCTGTGACCATTGCGCTAGCGTGCTTGATCTGGTCAAATGTTCCCTCAAGCTCAATGTTTTTATGGTTGGGATCAGCCTCATTGTCACGGATGGCTAACTTGGCCCCAGTCACTCGGGATATATGCTTTGTGTTGGTACCACCCTTCCCAATGATGGCGCCAGCAAGGGATGCATCAACACTGATCTTGGCTGTGGCCGAAGCACCGAATGTGGAGGGAGGAACCATGTCTAGGTGAGGCATTGGCGGTGGCATGAAGTGACCGTTGGGCCCTGGCCCCATTGGAGGAGGAGCTCCCATCGAGTTGTCCATCTGCAGGGGCTTTCCAAGCTCCCTCTCTCCATGAGCAAAGTGGCATTTGCTCCCCCATTTACATCCTTCTGCAGTGTTGTACTTGTTACACATGCGAGTCTTCACTGCAGGTGAAGGTGGCCCATCAGGACCCCCAGGTCCCATAGGCATTCTTCCTGGTGGAGCTGGAACAGGTGGTCCACCCAAGTTGGTCATCTTTGAAACCGCCTGGTAGCCACCGGGGAAGTTATGGAGAAAATGGCAACTTGCACCAAAGGGACAACCGGCCGTGCTGCACATTGAAAACATCATATTATAAGCAACAGAACATGCAAATATATCTGACAACCTCCAGACTGTGATATTAGTTGATACACAAATGCAAACAATGTTGATGAAAGAGATTAAGTTACATGCAGCTGGATAATGTAACCTCACTACATGAACTACTAAAAATATATATGCAATGAATAAAAATTGAAGTAAATGATATGAACTAATCTTTTACAAATCATGCTGGATAAAAATGTCATTCATAATCAAGCTTCAGATATTGGTGTTCAAAAGTACTACTGCATCATATTGATAAGAAACTGTAATTGAACAAATAATAACTGGTACAATTCACAAGGAATTGAATCACAGTCCCCATTTCAATCTAATCTTCTTGATTTCTTCAAGTGAACCTGTTCCATGGTGTTACTGACTGATTGTTCCTCTTGAGAGGAAGTTTTGTTTCCTTGTAACCATTGTTGCATGGTTCAGATTTTCAGTGATATACAGAGCAGGTTCCCTTGTTGCATCAGTTTTCACAGTGATAAACAGCAGTAGATTCCAATTTTTACTCCGTTGAGTGTTCTTAAGCAATGATTAGACAAAACCCTCCTGTAGCAGAATCTAGGCTGACCCATTTGTTAGCATCAAGCACAGCATTTAGTAACATAACAAATTTTAATTAAAAAAATAAAAGCATAATAATGATAGTAGATGTTACCAGATGAGAGTTCATTTTAAGTTAGATTAGAACCTGAAAAATTTGGTGCACGGCTTGGATTTGCTTCCTACACCCATTTGAGTTGTCTCCGATTCTGTTACACCAAATTTATTACTTCCGCCAATTAATAATGTGTTGCTTTACTAAATCATGTCGCTTGGTAAAGTAATATGAATATATAAATAGATATAATTCATTAAAGAAGCACTGGGCGTTACATTAAAAGGCCGAGAAAGAAAATCAATGCTGCTGCTACAACGTCCAGTATAAACAACGCCACAATGATTTGTTATTGGAAAATTAATACTTGCTTAAACCACCGAAAGAACTAAAAGTGGCAATTCTAGCTAGTCCAACGAAGAAGCACTAAATGTTGAACAAAGTAAAGCTGAAGGATCTATGTGAACAGAACAGCAGCAATCTCAATCTAGCACGTCCACTACGTCTCCATTCATCCCTCAAAATTTTCGTCCCAGAGCAAACTCCCGTGCATAAACCTAAACGAGAACGAGCCATCGGCTCCCACGGAAACCAATCGGAAAAGACGCAAAAAAAAAAAAGGGTCTATGCCATTCCAAGCTCCAAACACCCCAGATCTCGCCTGCAGCAACAGCAGCAAAAGCCACGGATCCCCGCAGTTCGCAGCCAAGCCGCGAACGACGGAGCGCAGATCCGACCAACGAAGAGCAGCTAGAACCCCCCTACGGAGCCGAACCTTCCGTGAAGCAACAGCCAACCCACAGATTCCAGAGAGCTAGAGAAGCTGCTCACCTCTCGCGCGCTTGGGGCCGCCCGCGCCGTTGGCGCCCGCCTCCGGCGCGGTCCGCTTGCGCCCGGTGTCCATGGCGGGCTCGCGGGGAAGGGTGCCCGCGTCTGGATCGAAGGCGGCGGCGGCGGGGGGCAGAACCCTAGCTAGGGTTTCGCTCCCGCGGGGGCGGCGGGCGGGTGGAGGAGAGAGGTGGGGAGGGCTTGCCGCAGCGCAACGGCACGAGCGAACCAGAGACGCGCGGCCGCAACTGATGGGGTAGGAGTAGGACGGGTCGGGAGTAGGGTTGAGTTCCTGGGCTGGGTTAAATTGGGTCGAGTTGGGATCCGGTCCGGTTTGGGTGCCGTGGCGGTGGCGGTGGCGGCGGCGGACCAGCACGCTGCTCTCTTTGGGTGTAGGAGTCTGTGCGCCGCGTAGGATTCACCTCGAGATTGAGTTTTTGCTAAAAAAATAAGATTGGGTTATTTTGGAGTTTCTTTAATTAAAAACATAATAATAGAAATACAGTATTAAACCCCGCTAGCATCTCAATATATCTATCTAAAATTTTAAGTTTCTATATTTGGTAATGCTATGATTAGGGTGTTCGTCCGGGTGTGTATGTCCGGATGCCCCCGTTCCCGGGCCTACGCAGCTATTGCGCCTAACAGGCAATCGGCATGCTTTCCTATACACTCTCTCCTCCATCTCTGTCCCGCGACAAAATCCCCATCGACAGAAATCCCCATGAGTGAACGGCTTCACCGCATCGGGTGCCCACCCCACTCAGCCTCGCCGCTGTGCGCCACGCGGCGCCCCCATCCCTCTCCGCGTCACGGTCGTCGCCACGCTGCGCCCACTCCTCCTCGAGAACCTTGTCAACGCCGGCGTGGTTGACGAGTCAGACGTCTTCGGTGGCGCGAGGGACAACAACGACAACCTCCTCCGGGCGCTCATCAACGCGGACCTCTCTGGCGAGGACCTCGACCTCGGCTTGTCGACACTCTTGGCGTCGTGGCGCTCTCCTTTGCTGATGTGCCCGCGCTGCTCGGGTACGTCGTCCAAGCAGCAAGATGACATTTGTGCAGTGCATGTTGCAACCTTATGTTTTAAGTATTTCAGATGTTTCATCTGTATGTTGCAAGTGTTTCAGCTTGATATTGCAAAAGTAGATCGTGATGTTGCACATATTGCAATGTCTATACACATATGTTTCAGCTGTATGTTTTAAATGTTTCATTTATTTTTTCATGCGTTCGTTGCAAGAGTTTCATCTCGATGTTGCATATGTTTCACACGTATGTTGCAAGTGTTTTATTTGGATGTTGCGTATGTTTGCAATGGTTTTCAAGAGTTTTGCAAGTGTTTCAGACGCATGTTGCAGCTGTTTCAGCTGTTTCGTACGTACGTTGCAAGTGTTTTATCTGAATGTTTCGAAACTACATTGGCATGTTGCGCATGTTGCAATGTGACCCACCCTGCCACAACCGCCTGCTGCTGCTGTTTGGGCGTTGTGCATGCGCATGGGGGAGCGGAGGGATGGAGTGCTGCTCTGTAGTGCGCGCGGGAAGCGGAGGGCCATGCGGTCCTCGCGCGGCATGGAGGTGTGGCAAGCAGAGGGGGCGCGCGGCGTCCGGACAGAGGTGTGAAGTGGGGGACACAATTTCCTCGGAGCAGCAAACGTTAGCGTCAAACACAAAAATGGACTGTAGCCACGGACGTCCGGGCACTAGCCGTGCCATTCTATATTTGTTGGCAACTTTAGGCTCGAACTGCTCCATCATGATTTAGCCTCTCCCATGGTTTCTAATTGCATTTTTTTTTGCATATTCTTCCTCCTAAATTATTATTGTAGTGATCTGGTGTAGGTGCTTAATATAAAGTGCAAACTGCAATCAGACGGGTTTTGTAGGTTTAGGTTAGCAACAACATGAGGCCAGTGCACTAGTGTATATTTGGTGTTAGCGTAAGCTCAATTTTAGTCTAGTAGTCTATATAATCAGAGATCCTCTTCTACATAAAATATTTTAGAATATTATTTTTGGTATATAGAGGGTACAGAGGACGTTATTCTCTTACGAAGCACTTACTTTATTTCTACATATTTTCTATGCGTTTTTATACATAAGGGACGACTTTTCTTCAAATGCTACATTATGCTCATGTTCGCTTGTATTATGAGCCGTACTATTTCAGCGAACGAACAATATTTTTCTCTTCCAATAAATCAGCGAACAGTATTTTCAGCCTTGGCTTTTCAGCAAAACGAACAGAGCCATCTTTTTCTATTAGACTCTCTTCGGACCCCTATGAGCTAGGCTCATTTTGTGTCTTGCGGCCAAACGATGATAAGCATTAATGATTTTGAAATGGGAACTTTACAGTGGACCGTAGACTCCATTTAGCATGTTCAGAATGGTTTTTAGGAACATGCATCTTGAATCCTCTTCGATTGGGAATTGTAAAACATACACACCAGTCGCTTATGATTTTGAGTATTTGACCATGGCGTAGCGGGTGCAGCGCACGATGGACCCGTCGAAGGCACGAATTCTTTCTTCTATATTTTCCTCTTCGTTTCTCATTCTTCTTTTCTTCTATCTTTTCACGGTACAATCCTATCGATTTGCTTCAAACCGGCATCATGCCAGCGTACTATGAACAAAATTATGTTCGAGTATCCAATTTAACTACAAAACTTATTAAACGAGATATCTAAAACCTTTTTGGTACTATAAGCTGTGGTTTAGTAAGTTTTTTTTTGTTTGAAAACTTAGTTGATTGAGCTGTTCCAAAAAAATGTCTTGCGCAAATACATAGTTGAGCAAGTTGTTTTGAAAACTTTTTTCACACAAGTTTTGTCCAAAGATATTGATGAAAAAACACTTATAAAATGTTCTTATAAGTCATGATTTATTTTATGAAAAACTAATGCCGAGAAGTTGTCCCGAGAAATTTATCTGAGAAAAGTTATGCGCAAATTAACTTATGCGCACAAATTCCTTGGTAAAGTTGTGTATACAAGTTTATGCGCAAAAATTGAAGTTTATAACTTTCAAAAATGCAAAACTATAGAAATGAAATTTTCCATTCCACTAAGAAAAAGAATGCGGAATCAGGAATCGCTCATTCTTTTCGGCCCAAGAGCACGCGTTTTTGCTAGGCCTTAGGAGTCTGGCCCTGGTTCTTGGCCTAGGCGCCGAGCAGATCAAGATCAGGACCTGCACGGCTGCACCTGCCTCTGACTGAAGGCGATGCAACTGTTGTTCCACGATACTAATCATCAGTTCTCAAAGCTAAAGATGGAAACACCAAACATGATCGCTGATCGGCAGCATGTCGACGTATATTTACTGAGTCCACAAAACAACGACATGGTCCATAGCAATTACCAACCAGCCAAGCTTAACACATGAAGCTGAGAGAATCAGTCAATCAATAACTCATGGGGTACCCCAAGCACAATGTCACATGGAAATGGAGACCCTAACAGCGATCACGGAGCTGCTAGTCGCAGTGCGCAGAAAGCTTTGCACTTGAACTTAATATGTCACTGTTCTCATCAAGGCAGAGGGAGGCTTCCCTTCTGGTTCCATGTGTGGGCGTACCAATGATAATGGAAGCCCTTGGCCTGCACTATGAGTACCTTGACCAGCTTCCATCACTGGTCCTATGGAAGACTCGGGGCTTGTGTTTTGGGAATGTTTTTCCCAGTCCGGGTTATTGATCAAATATTTCCAGATCCTACAACAAGAAAAAAAATACAGAGAATTCTGAGAATGATAGTTCTAAGTCATAAATTAGTTTGACAGTCTACAAAAGAATAGGGAAATCTACACTGCAGAGACACAAACCTTCTTTCATTTTCCACAAAGTAAGGTGGTTCTGCAGCTGGAGAGGTGGAGCATTGCAACAGGACTTCAGAGTCCGAAAGCTGGTTAAGTGAGGATGCTATATCGGCCCAATCTGGCATCCTATATGACAATAGGTGATGGATTTATGGTAAGGGAAATTGTAAACAAACAAGGCACGAATGCACAGTATTTTCCAGTTCGTGGGCCAACATGTGTTCTTATAAACTATTTACTGCAACATTTTCTTCTCCCAATTTATACAACAAGAACTATCACTTAGATATTAGGGAAAAAGTTGTATGTTTCTGGTTCTGAGTGGATTCGATATATCTGATGATATAAAAGATCATGATAATGCCTCTATAGAACTTTTCATGGGAAGAGGCACTAAACAAAGGGAAAGTATCATCATATGAACAGCTATTTAGAACTGTCCTATGTCGCTAATAGAAGGTTTTGCCTTCCCTTTTCAGATAGTACTACATCCATTGGACTTTTGGAATATCAAACTGGAAGAAAAAAAATCAACTGTTTGTGTTGCTACTGAAACAATAGCTCAAAGTTCAGGAACATGGAAGTTTAAGCACAAAGAGTTTGAAACATGCAAATAAAGACATTGGAGATTTCTTTATATATATAAATATATAAAATGCAATGGATGTGAGGATTTTAGATACCAGTAGGCAGGTGCAATTTGAAAAACATCACACTGAGTATCGTAAGTCTCCAGCAATCTTCCTTGCCAAGTTGGATCATAATAACTAACACTCACACGAATCCTCCTGATAACTTCATCTGGGCATCTCGAATCCATGTCAAAGGTTGCTGGTATGACAACTCCAGATGAGGTTTCAACCTGAAGACACCCGGTGGGCCTATGAGAACAATTAATCTCAAGTTTTGTATGTTTAAATTCACAGTGCTGGAGCTCTATTATATGCTTCAATATTTGAAATCCACACCAAAACCAACACAAAAATGAATGTAGGGGGAAATGGAGAGGAGACTGCAGAACTATATCACTTTGGATTAACCATCAAGGACATTATGTAAAAAGGCATCAAAACTGCTATGTCCTGGTTCTAAGTAGATTGGTGCCAATTGGTGCTAGAAACTACTAACAACAATGTAACGGATCCAGAAGAGAGGAAATCACTAACCACAAATCCACCAATTATAGGTAGTGCATTTCCAAATGAATCAGTCTGTGTGTTATTCTCAAGGACACAAAATGACCGAAGGTGGAATTGTTGTTGGGACTTATGCAGCACTTCAACTATTTTGCAACATAGTGGATAGGAATACCCTTCCTGTTTGATGTGTTTCTTACCAGAGGAACGGACTACCTGCAGAGTGAACAATGTTAAATGGTTCCACAATTTCTTGTATTATGCAAAAAGAGTGAGAAACAAAATATTCAACAAAATGGCGAATAACCAACAACTTCTGAATCCAACCTTTGTGGAAGCATCAGCAAAGCCACCAATAAGGTAAACCTGCAGTAAGTACTAGTGAGAATGCCTGAAAGGTGCATAAAGTATACCCCATATCGAAATTACAGTTAAAGATACAAACATCAAATGGTGCATTATCATCACCAAGTAATTCTAACATCTGCTTGATCCCTCCCTCCACAATTTTTGGGAAATCCATATGGCTAATGGAGGTCCTGGAGTAAGCAATGGAAGATCAGAAACATCGTCATAAGTCCTTAGTCTCAGTTTATTCAGAAAATACTAGAGTTACGAAGTTCACAAGAAACTGAAATCTTACAGGATCAGATAAATGCTCACTTTTTTTTCACTTACATTCCAGTCTTGTTGTTGTGAATTACAACACCAATGCATGTAGTAGCCTCATCTGTGCCCACTAACTATAATGCAACGAACATATTAACTCAAGTGTTATTCAATTCCAAACGACATATGCATAACATAGTAACATCAAATCACATTAGAAATAAGACCCGATAACCAGAACAAGTTTCCAGAAGACGCCAAGTTTGTTGCAACACAGAATTTAACCAAATAGGCAACTAGCTATAGGAACTGTTCATGACCAAAGTCTACACCAAATGCAATTGCAAAGATTGGAACTACATATTGGCATTCTAATCCAGTGCAGCTTTAGTCTGTATTCATCAAACGACACGAATACTATCCTATTCCTATAGTCACTTTTCAGAAGGAATTAAATTAGACCATTTCAGGCAAAGACCAACCAGATTGTTCCAAGGTCCACAAAAAAAAGTCTGGTTCCAATAACAGTAAATCATCACAATTCACAAATCTGGTTAAGATACAAATCAAAACCTACGAGACCAGCCAATAAAGGGTAAAAAGAGCTCCTAAGATGGCTGCCAAACCCCAATTTTACAGAAAGCAGCAGTAACCCCTGACAATGTCCCCCAAAGCTCCCAGCACAAGAATCCCTGCTTTATTCTTCGCCCCCAAAAGGTCTCTGCTTTGTCCCAAAGCAATTACCGAATCGAGTGAAGTGAAACTACGAAGACTTGCCCATCCACTACTTCAGAGTTCAGAATCTGAGCCCTTTGTCTCGACAGCAACCCACATGATTTGGCCAGGAAAACAAAATTCACCTTTACAGCACAAATCATCACTGAGCTACGCATATAATCAGCTACACAAGAAACTCCATCAACGACATAACAAGATCCCATTTTTATCACCCAAAGACCGGTGGGAAACGGGCTATGAATTCCCCAACCCTACTTGATCGAACCGCGACAACGCAACTCCACGCACCTCGACGCGCGCCGGATCCACTGTGGCGTACTCCCGCTGGAACACGTAGACGTGCCTCGGCGCGCCCTCCTGCCCTGCCGAGATCCGCCTCTCCGGCGTGGCCTTGAGCCGGTCGGCCGCATCGCGGATCCCGGGGCTCTCCAACAGCGCCGCCACGAGCTCCGTCCCGTTACCTCCCTGAAGAAACAGACCGGGCGTCGTAGAATCAGAGAGACAGGAGCCAGCGCCCACGAGCTCGTCAAGGTGAATAACCGACGCACCGTGCGAGAGGCGGTGCCGGAGCCGGTGCCTCCGGAGGAGGAGAGGGCAAGGTCGCCGTCAACGAGGAGCATGCCGCCGGCCGTCTGAGCCGGAGGAGAGCTGGAAAGGGGTGTGCTTCAGACTCGAAAAGTGGCACACCTGGTTTGAAGTGTTTTTTTTTCTTTTCCGTTTTATAAGGTATGGAGATAAGCACCGGGGCCTCGCTGGGGTTTACAAAATGAAAATGTGTTTGCAGATGTTTAGTTAAATTAAAGGTAATATTATTTTTTTAAACTTTAGTTGACTTGAGTGTATCCGGATGAACTTAATTTTTTGGCTAAACTTTTGGCAAGATCATAGAGGTGGTGGAGTTGGCAAGGTGGCGCTTATAGATAGTAGCTGTTGACGAGTGTGTGGACGCCGTGAGAGATAAAAGACGAGCTGGATAAGATTAGCAATTAGCAATGGAATGTTAGGCTCTTAGCATATGAGAAGTTTTTCGTGAGTAAAAAGACAAGTAAAAGTCTGAACATGAGATAGCGTTGTCTCGTAACAAGCAATAAGTGTTGCTCCCTCCGTTTCAATTTATATAAGTCGTTTTTGTTTTTTTAGATACATAACTTTTATATGCATTTAGAGCATCTTCAAGAGTGTCATATTTTTTCTTTCTAAAAACATGATATTTTTTAACTTCTAAAAAAGTTTTAGGAGAAATAAAGAACGCTATCTCCCAGAGTTTCTAATAATTTACTCTAAAAAAGTATTTCAAATGTATATTCCAATCATTTAATGGTATTTTTATAAAAGTTATATATTTATTTATAGAAAAGACGTATAATTCAGAACGGATTGAGTGTTGAGTATTGAAGTAAAACTTGATTCAATCAAAACAACTAGATTCGTTTCAAAAATCAAAACAACTAGATATATCAACTCTCTTTTGGAAAGCGACGACCAAAAGCACTTAGGCACACACGCTTACTCATCTTGACACTCGAAGTCGTTCACTTTATTCTGCCTTTCTAGTTTGTAACTGAGGTAGCTTTTGGGTCATTCAAATACGTACACTAAACTTAATCAGGGACGTCACGTAACTAGAAGTGGTTGGACGAACCTCTGTAAGACACGCTACGTTCGCCACTATGACAAATACGTGTGTTTTTAATGATGTTTTACATCAAAGTTATATGCATCTAAATAAAGACCGACAATTCACTCGTAACTCCCTTGCATGTACTGACTCTCAGAGGCCATAACGTAGGAATAAGAGTTGATTAATTACTTTTAATTACATCAAAGTTGATTAATTCCATCGAAAGAGATCATAAACATTTTTGTGTTAGGATTTGTAGTACCTCTAGGTGCAGATCATTGGGTAAACTTGACTTAGATATAGAACTTGATGATGATGTACCTCATCTCGAGTCTCCAGTCACGGCCATGGAGCTGACAACGAAGTAGCAGCAGAGCAGGCCCGGTCTGGTGACGGCGGCGAAGGCGGTGGAGCTTCCCGTCGCTCACAGCGCTGCTCTCTAGATCGGACTAGGGCTAGAAAACTCGGTGAGGGGCTGGGGGCTGCGGTGAACCTCTTGTCTCGAGCCCCAGCCCCCACCTCCTTTACATAGCGCTGCGCGACGGGGGTCCACCAGCTAGGAGAGCTGCTGGGCGTCCCCGATCAGGACGCGAGTCAAGGGCCCATTTGCCCGTTGGGCAAAATTGGTGGAGATCAACCTAACATTCTTTCCCTTATCTCACTTTATGTCTTAAACTTAACTTTATCTTTTTCCTATTTCATCACATATCAGTGCATAAAGCGTGCCTCATCGTCACGATCAGTTGCCATTAGATTTAACATCTACAGTGCACCTCTCTGTTTTGAAACAGATTCTCAACTAGGCCCTCAGTATCCTGAAATCATAGGCTTTCCTGTAAACCCATGTCGACTGTGTGTTCTCTAAACGCACTGGGTGGTTAGCCTTTGGTAAGCGGATCCGTAATTACTTGCTTGGTACTCATATGCTCAATGCTTTCAAAATGATTCTAGGATTTTCTCCATTACAACATATAACTTAATGTCAATGTGTTTGGCAACACACTTGACCTGTTGTCTTAAGAGTTAACTACTTTAATTATTGTTGTTGTCTACCATTGTTAAATCCGGGTACATATTCCCTTAACAACCTTTTACCTGTTCCTGAAGCCTCATCACAAGCTATTCTATGGCATGCATCATTGATGACATCATAACTGTTTCTTTAGAGCTTTTTCACAATAATACTCCAACTACGAGTGTTAACAACTACTGTAGATTTCACTACACATCTTGCCAAAAATTAACATTTGTTTCCACAACTATTTGAGAGTACTTGTTCTTTCTTCCTCAGCATGAAGCCTACGATATTTTGCAAAATTGCAAGACATTCTTAACTCCATAAGAGTGATCTATATTTAAACTGGACTTCTGCCAAAATACCCCGAATACGTAAACTACGTCAGGGATAAGTTCTTACTTGTACTTATACACTCATCAAGCTTTCAATAGCTAAAATATATGGAACCATGTTCATTTGATCGATCTCATATCGGTTCCTGGAACACTGATAGCTTCCAAATCTATTACCCTTGGCTATAGGAGCAAGCGTAGATTTACTCGCATGCATACTTTATTTCTTTAGAATCTTTTCTAAGTATGCCTTTGCGATAGTCCTAATACCCCTTTTTATCTATCTCGGTGAATTTTAATTCATAGAACCAATGAGGCTTTACCAAGATCATTCATATTGAAACTTGAGGATAAGAACTTCATCTTCAATGACAGATTAACATCACTGCTAGTGAGTAGGATATCATCTATACACAGGATGCGGAAAATGAATTTTTCATTCTTGAACTTCGCATAAACGCTATTATAATTCTCATTTTCTTTAAAAAACCCAAACTTTCTCATTGTTTTATCAACTTCAAATACTACTGTCTAGAGACTTGTTTTAACCCATAAATAGATTTCTACAGGTGGCATCACATACGTTCTTTTTCTTCCATGACAAAACCTTTGGGTTGTGCCATGTAAACGTTTTCATACAAATCCCCGTTGAGGAATACCGTCTTTACATTCATCTGATGTAACTCTAAATCATAATGTGTCAATAGCACCATTATGATTTTAAAAAAATCCTTGCATGAGACTGGAGTGAAAACTCTCATCGTAATCTATTCATTCTCTTTATGTAAAGCCTTTTGCTACAAGTCATGCTTTATATCTTTCCACATTCCCTTTAGAGTCATATTTTATCTTGTAGACCCTTTCACAGCCTACTATTTTGGCTCCAATAGAAATTTCTTCTAAGTCCCAAACATCATTGGTATTCATCGAATTCATTTCAGCTTCCATAGCTTCTTGCCATTTAGATGAGTAAATGCTTCTCATGGCTTCTTCAAATGAGGTGGTATCACCCTCCATTTGAACTTCTTCACTAACATAGACTTCATAGTCATCAGAAAACTGGTTTACTAATTCTTTGAGACCTTCTGGGGCCTCAGCTATTGGCGTTCTTATATGGGGCTGTTGTTGCTCTTCATTGCCAAGAGACAATTGATTCTACAGGCTCCTGTATTACAAGATCCTTGTTTATATTATTCATCTTCTTCGAAGAGCTAACAACAGGAGTTGTATAAGTCATACAACATCAATAGTGTCGGATACCAGAAAATGGGGTACCCCAAGCAAAGATCGAAAAACTGCTTAGACCCTAAAAACAGAACCAACGGAATAAACAAACGAGGTCTCGGCCGAAATCTCCGATTCGCTCGAGACCCCGTCCTCGAGCCCCAGCGGAAGCAAACGATTCTCCTCTTCGAGACCGCCTTTCGCCGAGGCCCTCGCCTGGGCCTTGGAAGAAGTGCCGATTCTCCGATTCACGCGAGGCTCGGGACCCCACCTCGTGACCGCCTCTTCGACCGAATCGCTTCGACCGAACGTCGATCCAAGCGCCTAACCACTCCGACAGACGCGACGATGGCACAAAGATGCTGAAGTGACCGACTACACGCCAGCCGCTTCAACCTCCGCCATCTCGCGACGCCAGACAGCAGGGGTTACCACCATCGCTTTGCTTAACTCCTGCACCAAAGACATCGCAACGTGGGGAGTCGAACGGGTTCCTCAGTAGCCTCGGAATTAGCGGACCGACCGCTCCGTCTCGCCTTCGAGCCCCCTCGACGGGCCTCGGATTCACCGATCTTTCTCCGCCTTGCCCGTCCGCCTCGCCTGAGACCCCCCGGTAGGGCCTCGAACAATTGGCCACGCTCCCTCGCCTCGCCCGAGGCCGGGCTCGCCCTGCAACCTCGTCGCCTCCGCCTCAAAGGTCTCTCTGGCGTGCCATCACATCGATTAATGCGCGCCACCAGCACCCCGCTTCGTACGTAAGCCACGATCGGCAAGTCTTGCGCAACAGAGCGACGGGACAACGGTCGATCACCTTTTTACCATCCCTCACCGACAACACAGTTTCCAGATCCTCAGAGGCGCACGTCTCGCATGACTGTTCGCTGATGGTCAGCTGAGACCCGTGGTTCGCACTGGGCACTTCTCGCCTCGAGAGATCGGCAGCGCCTCTCAGACAACAGTGAGCTCGCAAGACGACCGGCTATGATGGTCGCCGAGCTTCGCAATCCACTGTTTTGCGCGAGATGTTACTTGCAATGGAGACCATACCGATTAGACATCTACGGAACTCCCACGACAACGCCATGTTTGCTTGTGAGTAAATACGTCATCGAATAGTCCGCTCCACGTGTAGCTCTCTTATGTACTCCTGGTTTCCTCCTGCGGCTATAAAAGGAGGTGGCGGACCGCTTTCTAGCGACGGCGGATAGAGTCACGGATACTGCACGAACAACACGCCTCATTCTATAATTCATATCACCTCCCCTCATAGAGACCTAGGGACGAACTCCCTCTCTCGCCTAGCTTGTAACCCCCTACTACGAGCACCCCGGTGCAAGGAATACAAGAACATCTTCTCAGACTGGACGTAGGGCATCCATTGCCCAACCAAAGATAAACCTTGTGTCTCTTTGCATCACCATCCGG